TGCCAAAGAAACTCGAAGAAAAACTATGACTCCAAGTATGGCCGTTCACATCCAACTCAGCAGGATCCCACTTCCTTTCCACGCGTTCATAAAGCAGCTGGAACTTGTCCAAATAGCAAAGAGGTTTATTGGTGAATTCATGGCGTCCCACCATAGTTGGAGCCACCACAAAAGCGCCAGCCACAATATCCTCTTTACCATGGAACGTAGCATCTTGAAGACCCAAAGTAGTAGGTGCTGCACCTGAACGATAACGCACCATTGCAGTCACATAGATCTTCCATCCACTGGAGAGCGCATTGGCGAGGACGGCATCTCCATAAGCGAACGACGGTGGTGTGCTGCGGGAGTTTGCACAAATGTAGCAGATTTTGGCCAAACAGAGATGCCCAAAATACCGAGTTGTCGTAGTCACCCCCATAAATCTGATCCATTGTTGCGTCTTCTTGGGATCCAAACAGCGACATCAAAAGGTAGACATACTTCCCAAACAATTGTGCATCAGCAATTGGAAGTCCCCCAGGAGGAATACATGTACCACCATATGTAGAATTCACCAAGGGTAGCAAGTGAAAAATGTGCCAAGATGGACCACCGACTGGGGGTGGTGGTACTTTCCGATCCATCTTCCATCTCGCCACATCACAGATTGATTTATGCATTGCAAAATTTAGCAGGTCAAATTCAGCTTCATATGGAAGCGGGATGTGTTGAAAATCCGTAGCAATATCCGCACAAAAACGAAGTGCATAATGCAATGTTCGTGTGACACCCGACGTTGCCTCCTTGTGGCCATGGCCCCATCGCAATGAGATCACGGGCGAGTTGCGTTGGTTCCGGAACTTTCATCCAATCAGTCGCAGCCACCACACGATCATCAGACAGACACAGATAGGGTTGCTCCTCTTGGGGAAAGAAACTCGCAAGAACCAGAGCAACATTTAGGAAATAAGGGCTGCAGGTCCGACGTGCCTGCACACTTGCAAGAGACGCTTTATCTGCTGAAACAAAACGAGACTGTCGCACTCCAAGCGCCGCCGCCAGTGTCTGCGGGTTGAACATGTCGTTCCGCATCGGAGCAAGGCCCAGCGAACCCGTTCGTGGACCTGCCCCAAATCTGCCTTGTGCCAAACTAGAGCGACGACGATCAGCAATACTGCCAGCTCGCATGACTGCTGCAGTAGAAGAATCATTTGCCGAAGAAGCAAACCTAGTTGCCAAGTCATTCGGACGAATGTCATACTCCTCCACATCACCAGCGACC